TTGTCTTAAGATGTTCTTAAGTCAGCTAAAACAATATTTACAAAAGACAAAAGTTTAAAGTGCATTATGGTATAATGTGTACGTTGCAACAACTCCTTGGAATACAAAATGCAAAAAAAAAAAAACAACGAACTGTAGAAAAAAATTGAACAAGAACACACAGCAAACTTTTTTCAACTAAGAAATTAATAATAAAATATTTCTTAAAGGAATTTTGTGGCTTCAACAAGATGAAGAAGATAAAGATACAACGATGAGTAGTAACAACAACAAAATTTATAACAATTTTATTAAAACTTTATTTCTGTCTTTAATTTTGTTGTTGCAAGTAAAAATATTAAGTAGTTTAAGAAGAAAAAAAAGAAACCGATTTACATAAAGCAGATTTTGGTGATCTCAGAAAATAATGAAAAGATAAAATATGCGATAAGAAATCATGTCTAGAATTACAACTAATTGAAGTTTTTTCTTTGTTTAAATTAATGACCTTAAAATATTTAAAGTTTTCTTAAAATATTTGTTTTTTAGTAAAAACTTTTAATTGCTAGCTGAAGTTTGATTTCAGCAACTACGTGGTAACAATTATGGCAGCACGAAGGAAAATTTTAATAAAAATATACTTATAGCATTTTTAAATTGCATAGTTAGTAAGAGATGCATATATATACACATAATTGAAGACTTTTTCTTTAAAAATATACAAAGTATTTAAGTACGTAAAAGTAGCGTCTTTGTATACTGCAACTTTATTTATTTATTTATTTATTTGTCTTTAAGTAATTGCAATTTTTTCTACGAGTCTGTGGGTTAATAACCAACGTTATGTTCCCTTTAGCATTCATATCATTTGCTACTCGTTATAAGCCATCATATTTTACCTACATTAGTCATTACTGCTAAGTTGATGATGCTGATGGTGGTAACAACGAGGCCGATAACAATTGTACGTCCCTGAACTAGTGACACATTTTACATTCATAAATGCAACGTACAAAATACACATAGATTTCTACATACAACCAAATAGTTCTTCTAGTTTGGGTTTTGTGTTGCAAAACATATAAACAAAACGGAATGAAAGAAATTCCTCAAAAAATACAAATATATTTTCAAGTAAACAAATACCAATACATAGTAATTTATGTACAGAACTACACATTGAAAACATTTCTTTTGGTATATGAAAAATAATCTCTTCATAATACACATTCATCATAATTTCAACTCAGGCTTTAAGCAACACACCATCATCATTAGCATCAACATCATCGACATATGATGAACATCATCATCACCCATCCATTCAACCATGCATCTATCCAACTTTTTACTCATTCAGCCATCATTGGCGCTTTTTTTATTTGGCTTGTGAAAATGGTAGTATATATTAATTTGTGTTCATATGCCTGAGAAATTGTAGGTTATGTTCAACGTTAGTTATAGTTGCTTTTGTTGATGTCGATGTCGACAAAGTCACCATTTCGTAAAATGAAAAGTAAATAAATTTTAATTTCCATTTACATGACGACGACACGATGATGACGATTGTATGTTCAGTTTTGGTACTTTGTTATACTCCGCTGCAGGAAGGATTATGCGTTAGTGCTAATGTCTGTTATGCACCGAAATATAATGGTCCTTCGAATCAGATTTTCCTAGTCGAACAATAAGCCCTTTGGTCTAAATTTAAACTAAATCCTAATGAGTTTCCTGTTTTTTATTAGTTGGATTTGTAGCCTTTCCGAAAATTATTCAGTATCCTTATATAATAAAACAATTTTATGCAATAAACTATTGCTCTTTACTTTAACAGCTGTAGGGTATTTTATATGTCCCGACTATAAGCTTTCCTCAATATTTTTTATTTTAAAGCACATATTATTTGTACGTTTCAACGCATAAAACTTGGAAGAACAAATTCATGAAATATCTATTATAAATTCAGAGCAAGTTTTAATATAGTATTGGGTTAGAGCAAAAGTAGTTTTATGAAATTCTTGCATAATTTTAGCTAAAGAAGTTTATGAGATGAAAGTTGTTTCAAAGACTTACTGCTAACTAACTAACTAACTAACTAACTAACTAACTAACTAACTAACTAACTAACTAACTAACTAACTAACTAACTAACTAACTAACTAACTAACTAACTAACTAACTAACTAACTAACTACTAACTAACTAACTAACTAACTAACTAACTAACTAACTAACTAACTAACTAACTAACTAACTAACTAACTAACTAACTAACTAACTAACTAACTAACTAACTAACTAACTAACTAACTAACTAACTAACTAACTAACTAACTAACTAACTAACTAACTAACTAACTAACTAACTAACTAACTAACTAACTAACTAACTAACTAACTAACTAACTAACTAACTAACTAACTAACTAACTAACTAACTAACTAACTACTAACTAACTAACTAACTAACTAACTAACTAACTACTAACTAACTAACTAACTAACTAACTAACTAACTAACTAACTAACTAACTAACTACTAACTAACTAACTAACTAACTAACTACTACTAACTAACTAACTACTAACTAACTAACTACTAACTAACTAACTAACTAACTAACTAACTATCTAACTAACTAACTAACTAACTAACTAACTAACTAACTAACTAACTAACTGCAAGCATTCTTCGATTTTAGACCAAACATGGATTTAAGTTTTCCCAAAGTTTTCCAAAAAAACCAAAAATGCTTTTACACCCTTAACCAATACAAATATGTATCTGTAAAATAAAAATATGTGGGTACTTGTACACACAAACATACTTATATATGTATGTATTTCAGCTACCAGCTTTACTTACCTGTGAATCAAATTCGAACAACTTTATTACCATTCATTCATTTACTTACTCATTTATTCGTGCATCATCCAACCATCTGACATCACTTATGTTTTACATACATATGTACATACACATGTAAATATACATAAATTACACAACACAGAGAATACTACATAAAGAAATGTGTAGTGTAGTGTGTGTGTTTGTTAGTTTGTATGTAAATCGTCAACAAATTTTACGCCATACTCATAAAACAAATATCAAACATTGAACTTTTTTCAGCTCTCAACATGAGTATGTATACGAATTTGTCTTACTTACTATTTACATACCTCATCACGAGTTCTGAAATTGCTGTTTGTTTGTGTGACACTGTGTGTACATAAATATGTTTGTATATATGGATTTTGTATTTATTTTACTTTCATTTCGTTTCATTTTTTGTTGCGTCGTTGTAATTCTTTTTTTTCATTTCATTTTCAACTTTTAGCCTATTTACTTTGAAGGCAAAGATACACAGCAATTTGGCTATAAGGATGTGTGTTTAAATTCACATCTACTCCAAACGTACATGTAGTTTCTGTATGAGTTTCATATTGAACACAGTTGTATGTTTCTGAAGTCTATGAGTGTTACATGTTGAAGCATTTGCTCTTCTTGCCTGTGAATGTCTGTTTGAAAGTTCAGAGGTACATATTAAATGAATGTAGATGTCGTGATGTACCAGGGATTAACTGTTGGGGATTTCCGATGTTCGGATGTTGCTGTATAGCAGTTCGATATATTCTGTATGTTTCTTTTATACTTTGCATTGTGGTTGCTGGGCCCCTGTAAAAAGATCGAACTTGTGTAAGCTGTTGTCCAAAAAAGCAGCAAAGAGAACGACAAAAAAGAGATGCACACACATACACACGCAAACAAGTATGTAAAAAAAACCACAACCACATTTTTAAAAAAGTGTGTGACTGGAATATAAGAAAACAATAACGACGACATACTACAAAGTGGAGCAACGGGTAATAGGTTTATGGTATTTTCTACACCAAATACACACATTGGTTCCACCAAACACTCCTAGGTTTATTTGAATTTTGTTTTTTATCTTTTGTTTTCTTTTCTACGCTCTTATGTATTTGCTGTTTTCAATATGGTTTGTGAGTGGGTTTTGTTGGGGAAGCCCCCATGAGTAGGCCTCAAAATAAATACAATACATGTAGATGTATGATGAATCTATAGATTTTCCTAGAAAGAAAATTCAATATCATCATCATTGTCATCCTCTCCACCTCATCTTATTGTCTCTTTTGATAATCTTCATTTGAAGTAGTAACATTAGCAGTATTTAACTTTCTTTTCGGCAATTTATTTTTATTACCCACAATTTTAGACAATAAATAAATCCAAACATTTATTTTTGAAAGCGAGAAAAAAGAGGCATAGAAAGAGATTTTGCTTTCCTCTTTTGGTTATGCAAATAACAGCCATATTGTTTCCTTAAGGAGGTTTAATATTAAATGAATTTCAAATGCTGCGCAAATATCATGTGTGTGTGTATTTATTTTGAATATATGCGTATGGTAATTTTGATTTTATTTTTATAATAATAAATACGTTTAAATTTAGCTCAGATTGTTTGTTAGTAAAAGGAAATCGATTTTTGTTTAATTTAAATCAAAATACTTATTTTTTTTTGTTTGTTTGTTTAAGTACATTTAAATATTGCCAACAAAACAATTTGAAAAAATATATTTAGGTGATTCATAAAACACGTATGCTAATTTGCAAAAATGGCTAACTGTATTATTTGAAAGAGGAAATTTAGTTTAAAATTATCAGTTCAGTGTTGCGATCAGTGTTGTCGAAGTAAAATCTCATACAATTTGTGACAATTTCAATGTCTTATCGAAAATGTACAGATTGCACAGTTTGTGAGGCTTTTGAACGTTGATATGAAAACCCATATTAAATATTTCAGTTGCATAGTTTCAATATTTTACCATTGGTATACTTCAAATTCGAGGAAATACACCTTGGCCACTAGCCTTTGATCTACTGATTTGTTTGGCTCAATAAATTATGAAATTATTTTATTGAAATATCCATTAACCAAATTACTTCTTTCATCCTAACAAAGCATATTACTTAATCCAATTTTAATGATCTTCTATTACAGGAAGGCAAACGTGGCTACTTGGAGGGTCTAGCAGCCCACTATAGTAAAGAAGTCAATATGCCTTATGAAGATGTGTTGGATGCCATTGAATTTGCACGCAGTGCGAAATGGCGGGAACGTCATATGCGAATGGCCACTAGCGGCAGCGGAGGTAACACAGGGACACTAAGAAGAGGCAATAGTAGTGGTGCCAGTGGCAGTTTTGGCATGGGCGTCAGTGCCATGATAACAGGCAACATAGCTAATCAAGCCATTTTACCCTCAAGTCATAGTCAACCATTATATGTACCCGGAAAATATTCGGTAAGTAAAAATATTTTAGTAAAACCAAGAAAAACTCAACTAATATATTTTTCCTTTCTAAAAACACAGCCCTCTAGTTGTCTTTCGAATCGTGAGGAAAATGAAATCTATAGTTATGCCCAAAATGAGTTGGCCAATCGTATGGCACGTAGTGTTATTGATTCAAAATCATCAGTTAATTTAAGTAGCGGCATGCAGCACAGTTATCCAGGAGCACGGTCTAATTTCTTTTATGAATTTGCAGCAACAGGTAAACTATAAATACAAATACATAAATGACAGACAGACAGACAGACAGACAGAAAGACGACTTAAATAGGCCTAGTTTCCTTTATTGTTCTTTAGCTATTTAAATTGTATTTGTCTTTAGTTTATTGTTGTAGTTGTCATTTTATACCACCTTTTAAGTATTTTAAGGCATTTAGTGATTGTGTTCTTTGTTTTTCATTGTCTATAAATGTTGTTTGTCTTACAGAAGGCCGTAACAAGCATAAAAGACGTACGGTATTTGCTCGTTTTATTAACGGTTTACGACAAACTGGCGATGAACTAAATCCAACTGAAGGCATGCAACTAAAGGTAAGATACAGCAACAACAATATGAAATAATCATAGAGTTTATAGCAAAGTACTTTACTTATACATACATACTACCATACTTAGTGCTTTAAGTAGAGTAGATACCCGGAACATTGTACATTTTTTATAAAGGATTAAAATAGGTTAATTTTAGGATTACACTAAACATACAAAACACAAACACAGTTACTTACTTACACAGTAACATTTATATAACAGCCAACAGTGGCAATAGTTGTGTTAGCAGTAGTTGCGGCTCAGGCTGCAAACAGATAAAATGAATGTAACTTAAAAGGTAAATAAATTGTATTTGTAAATTGTCTTACTTTAGACTGAAACAGGCAAGGCAGTTCGTTAGTTCTAAAAGCAAATGCTCCAGTGTGGGGTTTTCTGTTTCCTGTTTGTTTGTTAAATGTAATTGGGTTTTATTTCATTTAGTTTATTTTTCTAGTTAAACATGAGTATTTTCATGATTTTAAAGAGCTTAATTGTTACGTTTGTTTTTTTTCTACTTTGCATTTAATTGTAATGGAATTTTTAGACTGAATGCATACATGTGAAGGAGTAGAAAAACTTAGTTATGTATGTTTAAATGGTGGTAATTAAAAGGGGTAATTTAGAACTAGAAACTATTTTAAAATCAATTGAAAATCACGTGTTAACGTTCTCATTAAAGTTATACATTAAAGGTGATTGCTTGGTTAAGCCTCTTAACGACTTAAAAGAGTTTGAGAACTTTATTTATATATAAGAAGTCTTAATTATCTATAGTTTAAATTTTTTTAACATTGACGTATTCGAGAATTAAAAAATGTCGATCTAAGGTCATTGTACCAATTTCTAAATGTAAATATATGTATCTTTTCACATAAGTATAGAATTTGGAAACAAATTTTATTATTAAAACTATAAATTGAAATTCTGCTACAAATATTAATTTAATACTTAAGTTAATTTAAGTTTTGTTTATATCTATATAAAAAATTGTTTTATAAATCTGTAATAAAATAAATTTTATATTGAAAATTTGTATTTAATATGCATAGTTTAATAATTTAAGATAATTTAAGTAAAGAAAAGATATTAATCCATGCTTATAAACGACATACAAAATTATGTGGTAACCACCTTTGTTATAGATTATAAAATATAACTTTGCTTACAATTGGTCTACATTTTTTAAAATGGTACAAGTTCTAGTTCAGTTCTAGTTCAGTTCTAGTTCAGTTCTAGTTCAGTTCTAGTTCAGTTCTAGTTCAGTTCTAGTTCAGTTCTAGTTCAGTTCTAGTTCAGTTCTAGTTCAGTTCTAGTTCAGTTCTAGTTCAGTTCTAGTTCAGTTCTAGTTCAGTTCTAGTTCAGTTCTAGTTCAGTTCTAGTTCAGTTCTAGTTCAGTTCTAGTTCAGTTCTAGTTCAGTTCTAGTTCAGTTCTAGTTCAGTTCTAGTTCAGTTCTAGTTCAGTTCTAGTTCAGTTCTAGTTCAGTTCTAGTTCAGTTCTAGTTCAGTTCTAGTTCAGTTCTAGTTCAGTTCTAGTTCAGTTCTAGTTCAGTTCTAGTTCAGTTCTAGTTCAGTTCTAGTTCAGTTCTAGTTCAGTTCTAGTTCAGTTCTAGTTCAGTTCTAGTCAGTTCAGTTCTAGTTTCAGTTCTTCTAGTTCAGTTCTAGTTCAGTTCTAGTTCAGTTCTAGTTCAGTTCTAGTTCAGTTCTAGTTCAGTTCTAGTTCAGTTCTAGTTCAGTTCTAGTTCAGTTCTAGTTCAGTTCTAGTTCAGTTCTAGTTCAGTTCTAGTTCAGTTCTAGTTCAGTTCTAGTTCAGTTCTAGTTCAGTTCTAGTTCAGTTCTAGTTCAGTTCTAGTTCAGTTCTAGTTCAGTTCTAGTTCAGTTCTAGTTCAGTTCTAGTTCAGTTCTAGTTCAGTTCTAGTTCAGTTCTAGTTCAGTTCTAGTTCAGTTCTAGTTCAGTTCTAGTTCAGTTCTAGTTCAGTTCTAGTTCAGTTCTAGTTCAGTTCTAGTTCAGTTCTAGTTCAGTTCTAGTTCAGTTCTAGTTCAGTTCTAGTTCAGTTCTAGTTCAGTTCTAGTTCAGTTCTAGTTCAGTTCTAGTTCAGTTCTAGTTCAGTTCTAGTTCAGTTCTAGTTCTAGTTCAGTTCTAGTTCAGTTCTAGTTCAGTTCTAGTTCAGTTCTAGTTCAGTTCTAGTTCAGTTCTAGTTCAGTTCTAGTTCAGTTCTAGTTCAGTTCTAGTTCAGTTCTAGTTCAGTTCTAGTTCAGTTCTAGTTCAGTTCTAGTTCAGTTCTAATTCAGTGCTGGTTCAATTCTAATTCAGCGTGTTTGCCTAGTTCTAGACTTTGTATTCATTTTGTTTTAATCTATTTCAAATTAGAATTACACATTTTCTATTAATTCACATAGATTAATTGTTTTCAACAGCTAAATCAAAAATCTAATGTAATTACGAGTTGTAATTGAAAAATTGTAATAAGCATTAATAATTAGTATTAGTTAACGACGCTATAAAGTATATTTATTAATAAATCTGCTAGATAGCGGAGTCTCTTAAGCTTTATCTATATAAAAACCATTTTTATAAAGACCCTAGCTATCATCGGGATCCAAATCTTCAGTAATTCTGTCAGACATGCTTTATGAATACACTTTGCTAAACGTGTAATGGGTGACGTATGATTATTATTTAATATATCTGTGTTATGCAAAACACTCATACGATATGTAGTTATTTGTATACAAGTTTAATGCATTATATTAATTTAAGTAAAATATAATTAATTTTATATCAACTAATTACCTGGCTCTATTTGTAAAGTGTAACATAAGGAATATTTTTAATTGATATATTAATTAATAAAGTATCAAAAATACCTAAAGACCATCACAAAATCATATATTGCCCAAAAATGTAGCTATATTCTTTAGCCCTCTACTTATAAATAACATTTGTGAGAAGTCAAAATGGTTATCTTAAACCATATGCAAATAAAAAAAAATACATACTTAATATAACCAAATACATACACATTTTTCACCATCTTAACGAATAAAGTGTTAATATGAATAATATTTTTGGACTACAGCAGTAGAAGTAGTGGAAAAAGAAAAATTATAAAAAAAAAAAAACATAAAGTTGGCAAAGTGAAAAAATATATAGATTATTATTACACTTTTGATATTATAATCTAAGAATAATGAAAGAAAACTACAAAAGATCAGACATACGAAACTAATAACCCGTCTCCACGTATTCTTCTTACTTCCAATACATACTAGATATTGTCTACTTACTGTTAGTGTGAATGTTGGTTGCTGTGTGGCTACTTTTGTTGGAAACAAAACGAAATCAAATAAACGATGCATGAACAACTGAACACACAAATTGTGCTTAAATAATAAATGTAGATGAAAAAATAACTAAATACAAAAAAAAGAAAATACAAGATGAAAAAAACAATGCAAGAACAAGAACAGATACATGGATAAGAACAAGCAGCAGCAGTAACGGCCATATATTATTAGCTCTAACACAGAATAGGCTAGTTGGAAAAGCATTTCAAAAGAAATTGGAAATACCAATAGTGTGACTTTATATTGAAAATTTTTAAGAAAATTTCAAATAGAAATTTTTTTCGAGCTTTTCTAAGAAAATTCAACATGATAATGAAATTTAAATTTTTTAAGTAATTTTGATTTTGTTATGAAAATCTTTTTATATTGAAAGTTTGATTTTTCTACTAAACTTTGATTTTTTGCCGATTTTTTATCGTTTGATGTTTACATAAAATTAGATTTTTATATAAATATTTTTTTATTTTTCTGAAAAAAAAAAAAAAAAATAGAAATTCGATTGATCGATAATTTAGATATTTATAAACTAACTTAAAACTATTAAATAATATTACAGCCTGAAATTAAACTAAAAGACTTTTCATACTGCCCCTTTCATTTCATATAGAACTGAAATAAACAGAGAGTAAAAAAACATTAATTACAAAGATTGTCTGTCTGTGGCTACATTAACACACATGCAGACGGACAGACATACGCACACGTACATTTGTACTTTATAGACATATAGAAACAAACAGTTTAATGTACTTCTTGTACATGTCCATGTACTGACATTGTAGTTGTTTTGTTGTTTTATACATGTTTAAAAGACCACAATGTCCATATTTAAGTGTGTATATTCGTAACTGTGTGCTATACCATATGAACACTGAATAGAAGCGCGTTAAATCAACACACACACATACATAAATACATACATATATGCACAAAGAAGACACATACTAATACATTTGTCCATCCAAAAAACAACAAGAGAGAGAAAAAAGAAACGTTAATAGAAAGGAACAAAACACAAAAACACTTGTAAACAAAAGTGTACTTGAGTAGCAGCAAATGTTTCCTCTACAATATCCTGAATGAAACTGAACAAAAACACATTTACACACTAAATTGCAGGGCAGTAAAGGACATCATCAGCGGCAGCCAAAACACCTTCGACAATGTACATTCGTAACAAAAGGAAGAACAAAAAAAAAAAAAAAACATACAAATTCTGACAGTTGTTTTTGTGTTGGTTACTTTTCGTTCTTTATATGTTGGCTTTATTTTCGGTTTTATGGTAAAAAAATGTAGCAAAAACTCAGTAGGATATAAATAAAGTAGCAACAGCAACAACAAAAAAAACTGTTTATAAATTTAACGAAGAAAAAAAGGGTACAGGTGATGATCATGAAATACTCATCAAGTAAGTCATCAACTAAGTGAACAACAACAACATAAATAATACAAAATGTATTCATTTCTAAATTTTTCTCTTAATCTCTTTCTTCTGCTTTTTTGTGGTTTTCCTTTTTTTCGGTTAAACATTGACCGTTAAGGTTAAAGCTGGTAAAAATCTTTAGTTTGATAAAAGGAAAAAGTTTAGCAATATTATTATGTAGGGAAATAAATTGAAATTAAAAGGATAGGAAAAAAACAACTGGTAATTGCTATAC